TGTCTAGTGAGGAGTGCCTGAACTTTGCTTAAAGGCCACCAGAGATGCCCCTGGCCCAGAGGGCTGGGCTGTGTGGCCAGCAGAGGCAGAGCTGGGTGGGCAATCAGCACAGGTAAACCTGGCCTTACTTTTTTCTACTTAAAACCCTCAGGGCCTGCCCACCGTCCTCAGGATGAAGGCAGCCTTGCTTCCCTGGTATGCCTGTCTCTCTCCTGCCTCGGCTTCTGTACTCACTCTGGACTCCAGCCTCATGGATCATCTGTCTATTCCTTGTTCCATGTCCCAACTCCTCTCCCAGCCTCGAGCATCCTGTCCCTTGCACCAGCTCTGCCCTCACCTCCTCACCTTGCTCTCTCCTGCTAGTCCCTTGGGTTTCAGCTGAGGTGCTACCTCCTCCAGGAAGCCTTCCTTGACCATTCTGCCCCAGCCTGGGTCAGGTGCTGCTTCTGTGGCTCGTGTGCTGCCTTGTCCCCATCCTCATCATATCATGCACCTGTCCTGCATGCCTCCCCACTGGTCCTTCTGTCCCCCTGGATGTGGGCTCCTCAAAGACAGAGCCTGGGTCATGCTCAGCCCCCAGCCTTGGTCAGAAATCATAGTATGTGGCTGCTGGATGCATGAGTGGGGAGGACGATAGGAAGAGAGTTGACAGAGGGAAGGCCAGTGGAGCCCAAAGGATCCCTGCCCACCAACAGATCTGCAAGAAGCCAATAGTATCCTCAACCAGAGAGCTACTGGCTGCCTGGTTTCTAGGAGCCATACTGGGGCTTCCAGTCTGCAGAGCCCACCCCCACACTGTGTCCAAGGAAATCTTCTGGAGGGAGAGGGAGTGGAGGCCCTCTTAGCCCTGCGACCCCCGACCTCAGAGGTGGGGTCCTTACTTCTACCTCCCCAGGCCCCCCTGGAGGCAGAGGACTCTGCACGCCACCAGGCACATGGCACATTGGCAAGTGCAGGGAGGGACAGACAGACACAGACGCAGACACGGCAACACGGGGGACCCCGATTTTCAGGAACTCACAACCACCTGTCAGGCCAGGGGCAGATGGCTGCTCACGAAAAGCCTCGTGGCCCCCACCCTGCCAGAACTTTCCCCATCCATCCTCCCTGCCCTGCCTTATCCCCGCCAGCCCAGAGCTGGGGTCCCCCTACGACAGGGGGTTCCCTACCTCGGAAAGTCACTTTGGCGATCCTGTCGCCCCTGCCCCGCAGCTCCGAGACCGTCTTGAGGTGGACAAGCAGAGCCATGCCGGTGTGGGGAGCCCGGACCCGGCCGGGCCGGAGCGGCCGGGAAGGGGGGAGCGCGGCGGGGCTGGGCTCCCGTTCTCACGCCTCCCCTCTCCGCGCCGCCGCCTCCTCCGGCGCCCCCTCCAAGCCGCCCGCAGACCCGGGCACCCGGAGCCCGCGAGCCCTCCTTGCAGCGGTTCCAGAGCCTCACGGCCGGCCCGCGGCCGTCCCAGGCGTCAGCCCAGCGTGTATCTGGGGTGTGTGCGCGCGTGCTGAGCGCCCCGCCTGCAGCCTGGGAGTGCGGGCTCCCAGTCGGAATTCATTATTCAGCAGCCGCCCGCTCCCACATGAAGCCCTGCCCAGTCTCCCAGATGCGTTCTCCAGACCCTGGAGCAGGCGCTCCTGCCCACCTCTCTGCAGCGCTCCCTTGCGCCCGCTCGGCCAGTTCCGCCACCAGGGGTGGGCAGGGGGCACAGGCACAAGGGCCCAAGGTGTGGGCGTGGGGCCAGGACACCCACCTCCCGCTGTGGGGGACGGACCGGGAGCTTCGCCATCTGTGTGCGCAGGGAGCTGGGCTGTCGCACTGGTGTTTCGAGGTGATTCGCGCCCCCCTCCCCAGTCAAGGGTGCCACTAGGGAACGTGGATGGGCCAGGCCTGGCTGGGACCCACTGTGGAACACAGAGATTGCAACCCAGGGATCCCCCTAAGCTGAAAAATAAACATCTGCCAGACAACATGAAGGCTGTGCCTGGTGGCTGTCAGAAATGGAAGCCCTAAGAGAAAGAGGAGATGTCCTTTCCCCACCTGCTAGTGTGGACATTGAACCTCCGAAAGGTGGGATCCTGACCTCCTGCTTTGGGATCCTTGGGTCTGGGAAGATGGGGGGCTACTTGAGGGGAGCTCAAGAGCCAGGCTAAGCATGATGGGAGATGCCCAGCCTTGAAGACCTCAGAGGCTTATGTTCTACTAAGGGCAATGCTTAAGGTCTAGGACACCAACCTCACCCCATCGCCCCATCCTGGGGCCTAGGGATGGAGAAGCCTGGGCCAGTGAGCCTCACTGGAGCAGGACTGTCAGGCCTCATGTGCAATCGGCTGCTGAGGTTAGGGGGTGTGGGGAAGGGATATCTGGCAAAATTTCCCAGGACCAAGAAAGAACTGCCCTGTCTTCCAGCAACATACCCTGGGAGGAGCTTATGGAGAAAGGGACCCTGGGGATTATAGGGAAAGGGACCAAGATTCCTGAACCTAGAGCCTCTGTAGGCCCTCTGTACCCTTGCTCTTGCTGTTAGCCCTGCACAGAATGCTCTTACCCCACCAAAGCCTTCTTGCCTGGACTCAGCCCAACTGGTGTCTAATCCTGAAAGTACCTCTGCACCCACACACCTTCACCCAGCTGCCTTCACCCCCTCATCTCATTGCTTCATTCTTATGATGGGGAGACCCTGGTTTCCTGCATTTTTGCTCCCTAGAGCCTCACGTGGAATCCTGTGTATATAGTAGGATACCCAATGAAGGTTGATAAGATAAGGGGTGAGCTTGGTGACCTAGCTGGAACAGAGTTAAAGTTTTAAAAAGGGAAATATTAAAATTTCACAGCATGCTAACAAGAGGTTACTTCCTTCGAATTCTATAGTCCAGTGACCTGCAGGATGTCACAGGAGCCTCCTTCTGGATGTTTCCTTGCAACGTTGTCTCCTTTTTCTATTTCTTTTCTATTTCTATTTCCTTCTCTCCTTTCCTTCTTCAATTCCTGCTCTCCTTTCTCACTTCTATCTAACCACATTGAAGCAAAGAGAATTTTAGTATATTGTATTTACTGAATACAGATGAATGTCCAAAAAATTTTCAAACCAGTAAGTTTAATGTCTCTTTAAAAAAAAAACTAAATTAACTCGCATGTTCCATAAATGAGGTCATAGTGATCTTTATTTGTAAGGTATGGTGGCACTTGAAAAAAGGAAAAAAGATTCATCTCCTCCCTAGGCCCTCTGGTGGTTCTTTCTTATGGGGGGGGGGTGAATTTCACGAGGCCTGTGCATTTTTAGGAGAAAGCCCACGAACTTGCCCTAAACAAGACATTGAGCTTGGCTGAAGGTCAAGTTTCTATACTGATAAATTGGTAGTAATTCCACCCTGCCAACACATAGCACCCCTTAGCTGAACCAGCTTGACCCTTCTGAAACCAAAGCCAGATCTCACTTTTTAATTTCCACTCTCCCTACTATCATCCATTTCTGTAATTCTTACTCATAAAATTTATTCAACAAGCTTATACTAACTCCTCCTAGTACCAGGTGCGACGAATTCCAAGGTGAGTGTGATACAGTATTGGACCTCAAGACTAAGATATTCACTGGAAAAAAAAAAGATATTCACTGGAACACAAGGTGCCAGGTTCAGGGGCACAGTCAGCTGGGAACTCATGATGAGGGGGGAGTGGGCACTTGACGATGGCGGGGGCGAGGGGGAAGGATCTCTTCCTGGAGTATAGTACACCTGAACTGAGGGTTGTTCTTTTACAACTTTTACAAGCATTTTTCTTATTATGGCTTATATTCTGCATGGAGAATTTAGAAATACACAGATCTCTCTGCGGTTTGAAGGCGTGGTGGAGAGTCCTTCTGCCTGGCCTGCAACCACTCATTCCCCTTCAGATCCTTTTCCTCCCTAGGCCTGTTTTCCTGCTTCCTGCACCTCTTGGAAGCCTGTGGTTTCCACTGTTAACTGTCAGAGGAAGTCTTTTTGAGACTTCTGGTGGCAAAAGCATCCTGCAAGCTCATTAGTGTCTGTGGTCTTCATCAGCTGCCATTCACAGAGTCAAACTGTGAAGATAACACCTCTCCTCCGACAGGATTTGAGCGAAACTGTGAAGGCTGAGGATAAACTGCAGGGGGCTCTCACTGATACTAGCACTGTTGGAAGGGAGCTGGGAGGCAGGTTTGGCTCCAAGTGGCAAAGAACACGTTGCCCTTGGAGGCTGCCACCACTCTCTCACACCCCAGTTAAAGACCAGGGCTGAGATGAGGGTCACTGGAGAAATGGGATGTGGGGGCACCAGTTACAGGAGGGAGGCATCATTACAAGAAAACCTCCCCCGGGAGGTTGCTCTCCACTATCCCCAGTTGGGGTGCAAACCAGCTAACCTTGTGGACTGGACTTCAGAACTGGGGACAGGTGTAAATCACACACCCAGACCTTTCCAGGGTTTGTTTTTGGCCCCTTACTTATAAACCACTCTTGTAGAGTAGTTTGCCGGGCAGGACGAGGTGAGAAGAAAGCTCCCAGGGGGAGGTGAGAGAGCAATGAAGACAATCCCCTTGGGGGACTGGGGTGCCCGAGCGCTGGCTCCTGGGGTCCCTGCGGCCTCCTGGAGCAGGGCGGCGATGGGGCTGCTGCTTTCTGCTCCGCCTCCGAAGCCAGGGCGCGCCAGGCGGGGTGGGCGAGGCCTGCAGCGGACCGGGGCTGGGGGGATGGCGCGGGGGGGGGCACACTCCGCGGGCCTCTCCAGCGAGTTTCCACCTCCATCCCGCATCCCGGCGACACCGCATCCCGGGCGGGCGGCGAAGCAGAGAGGAGCCCATCATCCCTGGACGTGAACGCAGCCGCTGGGGCCACAGGAGAGCAGGCGCCAGGAGGGAGCCCAGCCCCCCCTCCCACGAACGCGGCGGCCGCGCGGCCCCTGTGGTTGCCAGGCGCGCGGTTGCCAGGTGCCCCGGGCTGTTGACCGTCGGGCAGGGAGCCCTGGGGCGGCGCGAGGCACTGCACCCACCATGGCCTCCCGCAGCGCGGGCACGCTGCTGACCGAGTTCAATGCCGCCTACGTGCCTCCCGGCCTCATGCCCGGGTAAGGCCGCCCCACCCCGGGCCCCCGCCTGCTCCCGCCGGTCGGGGTCCCCCCACCCCCTAGACCCCTCCTCCCGCTGGAAACTCCGCCTTGCGCGCCCCCTGTGCACCTGGCCGGCCGTCTTCCCGGGCTGGCGTGCGCTCCGAGCAGCCCTGGCTGGGCCGGCCTGGGGCTCTCCAGGTACCCCCCCCCCCAGGAAGTCAGGCCCCTGCGAGCGCGGAGCACACCCAGCCTGGGCTGCGGGAAAGCGGGAGGAGAGGGAGCCGCTGCGCGAGGTTGGTGTTTGGAGACCCCTGGGGGGGGGGGGAGCAAGAGCTTGGGGCGCCCGAGAAGGGAGCAGGGTTTTCGGGCCCCAACCCAGGGCTCCGCACCCAGGATTCGCTCAAGAGTCATCTTTGTCGGTTGAAGGACAAAAGGAGAGACCGCGTGGGCTCCCCGGGTGGGCTCGAAGAATCTGGCAAGGCTGGTCGGGCAGTAGTTATTTCTCAGTGGAGTGCAGGACCCCTGGACTTTGTGGTCGGTACCCCCCACCCCACCCCATCTCACTTAATCGTCACAGACTGCTGGCTTTGAAAGCCTCCGGGTCCCCAGATCTGTCTTAACCTTTTACATTTTCAGATGCAGGGTCAAACCTACCTTTCCTTTCACTGGCTGTTATCAAGCTCCAAACATCCAAGATGCAAGTCTGACTGTCTCTTCCATTCTTTGGCCCTTTCTCTCAAAGTGTCTGAGATTTCCACTCCCAACCCCTTCTTCCAGGGTGTAAGATCGTCGTCTTTCTTCGACGGGTGGCCCCGGGCATGGAGGGCACGGACTGGATTTTGAGATGCTCCTGGTGTCAAGCTGGGTGTGTAAGAAAAGGTGGCTTAGGATTTTCCTATTAAGTCTTTCCTTCATTTAGGCATTCCTTTGACAAAGACATGTTGAGTGCTTGGGATGTGCCAGGTGTTGTGATAAGACAAACAAGCAGGGGGCTGCCCTAGAGGGGTTCCTGTTATAGTGTAAACACATAAGGCTTAGTTCAAAGCCATCTTTGCAGCCCTGGATCATGGTATTTACATCATCCTGGGTGTTTATCATGGAGTTTAATTCTGTACATTATTATTTTTTTTCTTAAGCTCTCCACTATCCCCAGGTGGAACCTAACCATTCCCAAGTGTTCCCCCACTCTGCCCCATGGGCAGGGGGAGTTGTGTATTTCAAAAGCAATCCTGGGTTGCTTCTTTATCCATGCCACTAGTCTGCAGTTCCCTTGAGCACCCTGTCTTGTGATTGATCTAGAAATCGTGATAACAAGTGAATCATAAAGAAGGCTCCAAGCATGAACTGGACTAGTTTGAATAGCTGAGTCTGTATCTACAGCTTTTGCTGTGGATCTTTCTGGGAGGGTTATGCTGTCCCTAAAGATCCCCATCAGTGAAGAATGCACTGAGTTATCTTATGTTTCTAAATGCTACCTCATTTTGTTAGCTTAATGAAAGAATCCAAGATTCCCCACCACACTTGGATAATTATTATTTTTGTGTGTCTTTTCAAATATTAATCACAGGATTTTAAGCACAGCCGGTCTTTTCTGACACTCAAATCATCCCTCTTACCAGTTTTATTCATAGAGGCAGAGAATATTCACAGTGGTAAGGACCTTGGAGATCATGTAGCCCAGCCCCCTCCTGTTCCAGATGTGGCCACTGAGGTCTGCAGGGGGACTTGCCTGAGCTCCAGGCTGGTGATGGAAGAACTGGCTTTGAACCAGGTCCCTGATGCCCTGTGGTAGCATTGTGAGCCCCCAGGCATGGGCACCTACTATGTGCCAGACACTGTGGTGGGCTCTTTACAGACTTTCTCTAAAAAAACCTTTGCAACAACCCAGATGAGCAATGGTCAGCCTAGGGTCATTTACCAAGTTACCCTGCCGTATCTGTGTGACTTCAACACCCAGACTGTCCTCCATCTGTCCAAATGTTATCTGTATCATTAGTGAGATCCCTGCAGTGGTCAAGGCCTGATTCTGGGTACCAAGGGAAATAGGATGCTGGTCTTCAGATTTGTTGGCCAGGCTGTCCCACCTGGTCTCTTGCTGCTCTGAGCAACACAGCCCTCAGGCACCCTGCCTCTGCCTGACCTGTGAGCCTTCCCTGCAGTGAGTAGGGGATTCTTGGGTCCAGGTTTCTGGGATTGTAATGTTTTTCAAGGGATGAGACCGGCCTCAGTGAGGCTCTGTGCCTCCTGCTTGCAGGTCAGATCTAAATGGTATCCATCCCCTTGCTCTCTGCCTCCCACCACACTTTACCAGGCTCTCAGTCCAAACACTTAACCTGCCGCTGTGCATTCATTCATGGCCAGACTATTACTGCAGGGGGACTTGCACCCCCTCCACTTTCCTCTATCTGCCTAAAGTGGCGACTGTGCCCCCATCTGCCTCAGGGGTCTCAGGACCCTAAAATCAGTGGATTCCACTGTCAGGAAGGTGGACATTGTTGAGAAGGTAGCCACATGCAGGTGGCTGTGTCCCTTTCCCCAGAATCCCCATACAGTAGATCCTCTGGTAAATGTTGACAACCTGCTCTCTGGAGAGAAAAAACCCCCTGGCTTGTAGCATTCATCTACTATCTGTGGTATAAAAACACTCCCCCTGTGGCTGATTTCAAGCTATCAACATGGAGTCACAGGGCAGAGCTGGAAGAGATGCACAGCAGCACACACTATACAGTAACTCTACCCTACAGATGCAAGAGATGTAGCTGAAGTCCAGAACACAGACGGTAGTAAAACATAGTGACATAATTAGGTAGTGATGAGTTTTGAATGCTTATTCCCTTTGTTTTCAATATAATTTCTTTATGACTTTACAGAACATAATTCTTTTTAAAAAATATATAATTTAATATTTAATACTGGCTTGTTCAACAACAGCTCAAAAAATCCTAGAAATTTAATAATCAGCTCCCTTCAGCCAGTATGAGCCGGTACCAGCTACAGCTAGCACCCCACCGCCTCCTGCCAGCTGCTTCAGGCCTGAGACCTTACCTGCAGGCTGAGACAGGTGTGGGCCAGGCTGGGACAGAGGAGCCCTTTTCTGTGTCAGCCCGGGGCCTGGCGCTGGAGCTGCAACCCGAAGACAGGCCAGTACATCCTGGGCTACTTAGGCCACATGCCAACGGGATATAGGAGACTCCATGTGCCCAGACAGGCCACTGTTACCTCTCACATAACCCTGAAGAACAGGGAAGCCTTCCTATGAACAGGGGGTCAGGGGCCCCTAGAGACATAGGCTTTGTAACAGGGACCCTCCTTCTTTCCAGAAGAACCATCAGCCCTTAAGAATGTGCCTCTGCTTGTCAGTTTATTTCAATGAATATTTACAGGGTGTCTCCTGAGCACCAGCAGTGCCAGGGATGCAGATATGGGTAGAACACCTCCCTCTCCACGGAGTTTATGCTTCAGAAAGAAACACTAGATAGAGTAAAGGCCCAGATAATTACAACACGGCAAGAATGTGAAGTGGGACATAAGGGAGTCACAAAGGAGGGCGCCCAGCTGGCTCTGTAGGAAGAGCATGGTGACTGTCGATTTTGGGGTCGTGGGTTCGAGCCCCACATTGGGTGTAGAGATTCTGTAAGTAAGAACTTGAGAGAGAGAGAGAGAAAGAGACACAGAAAGAGACAAAGGGCATAGACAGTTCAATGGAGAGGACAGGCATGGTCTGTGGGTGGCTCCATGGAAAAGGGGGTATTGGAAATGGACCTTGAGGGATGGCTAAGATCACAAGGCAGGGAGAGGAGGAGACAGTGTCTTCGGGATGCAGGGGGTTGCTGAGGAAAGGCAGGGGTGGAGGTGCTGGCCCTATATGCTTCCAAAACAGCAAATGGCCTATTTAGCTGGAGTGGAAAAGCTGCAATGTGGCAATGGATGGGAAGATTGGAAAGACCCCCACGTCAAGCAGGGCCTTGAGCGTCTGGCCCGTTTGTTCTTAATTTCATAGACAATGGGGAGCCCTTGAAAGCTTTTGCCCAGGGGAAGGATCTGATCTCACTGTACTCAGCAGGAATTGTAGAGAAGAAAGCAAGTGTGGAACAAGGACGTGCCGAATAGTCACAAGTTAATTAGTTAATAAGGCTGCTCGTGGGATCTCTGATGGCATGGTAATTAATTTTAATGTCAGGTATGGGGCCAACCAGGGCCATCAAGAGACAGGGAGGGATTGCTTCCTGTACACACAGGGATACACAGAGGACTGTTGCCGGGGGCCCCGGCTGAGCACTGTCTCCCAGCTCGTGTGCAAGTGGCTGAGGAGCCAGGCAGCGGATGAGGGAGTCAAGGAGGAGGGGTGGCAGCACCATGGGGACTGTTTGATGCCCCGGGATGAGACCTGCCATTCTCTTCTGTTCTTTCCACGTTGACCGGCCACACAATCACCAACAACAAACCTTTGGAAAGCTTTACCACAGAACTGCACAGGCTCTCGCTCAAGGCACACACATGCAAGTGTATCCAGGGGACATAGACCTGGCTAGCCTTTGGTGCTAAATGAATGTGAATGTGTCCTCTGGTGCTAAATGAATGTGAACGTGTGCACATATGTGGGCATACCTGTGCCCCTCCCTGAGCAGCAAATTCTGAACAGGATCTGGAATCTAAGCAGAACCTTAGGAGGATTGCGGAGGAGAGGGCTTCTATTCTATTGGGATGCAAATATCTTGGCATTCAGAGAAGGTGGAAAATCGGGGAGCAGAGGAGGAGTATGGCAAAAAGCCTGGGGGTGGTGAAGAATCACAGGAACACGTCACATTTCTATAGCTCCTTTCTTCAGAGGAGCGCAAAAGGCCCCTGTGGGTGGGACGCTGTGTGTGGTGTGCGCTCTGCCGATCAGAGCCAAGCCCTTTTAAAGCAGTGCTCAGGGGGCACCTGGGTGGCTCAGTGGTTGAGCCTGTGGTTCAGGTCGTGATCCCAGGGTCCTGGGATCGAGTCCCACATCAGGCTCCCCACAAGGAGCCTGCTTC